TCCACAGCTTACCGCGCCTGCCCCTCTGCTGCTGAGTCACAGCCCTGCATGGGGAAACCTTGCACAGGACCCCACATCCTCACCTCTCCTACACTGAAAAACAATCCCAGCAGCCTCACACACCCAGGGATCACCGCTGGGGGATCCCCCACCCCGGGTTCTACCTGCCCCCATCTGAGCTTCCCTCTCCCTTCAGAGTCACACTTCTCAGACTTACTGATGCCCTCTGACCCCACTTATTCGATGCCCCCTCATCCTGGCTGAATTCAGCCCCATGCACCCCCACGCACCTGCTCTCAGCCATCAGTGACCACTGCTGACACGGGGTTTGGGTCTGTGTCCACACCAAATCTCCTGTGGAACTGTAATACCCAATATTGGAGGTGGTGATTAGATCAGGCATCCAGACTCACATGAATAGGTTAACACCACCCTTCAGGGTGGTGTGAGCCCTTCCTCACTTTCTGGCCCTGAGAGATGCTCCAGGCTAGCTTGTCCACTCCCTGCCCAGCCCTAGTCAGCCCCTTCTCCACAGAACCCAGGTTCCTTTTACTGGAGAGCAGAATTGGAAACCAAGATCCAAGTAGCAAGTGCGCTCATTACTCCCGGGGTGTCACTGCTTCTAGGCCCTCAGCTGACAGCAAGGAAATGCACACGTGAGCTGACACACATGTATGTACATGTCTCTGCCTGCATCCGCGTGTAGCCGCCTGTACCCACCTCAGTGAGTGAAGCGTGAGTTCACAGAGGTGTCTCCGACTTTACTCCCGCCACATTGGTGGCTGTGAGGAGACGATCCTCCAGGTAAGTGTCCCAGGTCCTGGGTGCCCACAGCATCCTCTGCACAGGCTCTCTCCCTGCACCTTTGCCTGACTCAACCCTCCCTTCACTCAGGTTCCAGCTCGCACGTCCACAGAGAGGCTGTCCCCACTCCCTACCACTAAAAGCAGCCCCCAAAGCCCTTTGCCCCTTGAACACGGCCCCCATGTTGATACCGCCAGCATCCCTGCCTCTGCTCCTTCCACACCAGGGGGACCACAAAAGTGCGCTCAGCCCTGCTCCTCCGTACCCATCTGCGTGACTGGTTTTAAAATGCCACTTTCCTCTCATTCTTTACTCAGAGAGGACCCCTAGCTTCCTGACGTCATTGTCCTTGCAGCATCTGTGACTCGCTGGCACAGAGCACTGCCTGCCACAAGCGCATCTGGCCTCCATTCCTGATCTCCCACGAGAAGGTAAGCGCCATGAGGACAGGGACATCCCTGTCTGGCGTCCCGGGTCTCCCCAGTCCCAGCATGGTGTAGTGCACAGCAGGCTCTCGACGCTTGCTTCTGGAATAAATATTCACATCGAGGGAGGAACCAGGCTGCTGATTAGAGACAGAGGCAGCGCCCAGCCACGCAGTTCCCCAGGGAGCTGTCCAAGGTACCTGCTGGCCAGGCCCTCCGACCCACTCTCAAGCGGCAGCTACAGAGGCTGTTCCTGCTTCACCCCCATTCCTGACCTTTAACATTACAAGTCATTTCTGAATTAATGAAAGAAGAGAACACGTGCTCATCAATATCAGGCCCACCTGCCTCCTCAGAGCAACGGATTACTGGAACACTTTCCCTCATGGCTGACGCGTGGCCTCCGACAGTACAACAGAGGTCACACACGTGGCCTTGGGACACTGCTGGAGGAGTGATGCTGGGCAAGTTCATATGAGCAAGGTATCCGCGCTCTGAAGGCTGAGGAGCTGCCGGGACATTCCTGCCCTAGATGTACCTCTGACCTTAGCAAACCGCAGCTCTCAGAGAACAAGACTCTGCTTGCCTGGAGCCCAGACAGCCAGAGGGTTCAGCAGAGTCCACGGCCACCCTCCCTCCAAAGGGGTCATCCCACATGGGAGTGAGAGGACAGCTCATAGCCAGCACGCAGGAGCTAGGGCCATGGTGAGGGGGGGCCGTAGGGAACCCTCATAGAGGCAAGCTGCCCCAAAACCATCAGCAGCGCGGACTGGGCATTGCATCCTCAGACCCAGGAGCAGCCTAGCTCAGCACCAACTACTCAAAACATAGCCTGTGCCCCAGCAGTGAGACCTGAAGCACCCATCTGATCATATTCCTGGCAACTTCACACTGCTTTTCTTCATGCACTGTGCAGCAAAGCCCCACATGACGATGGAAGAACGTATGTCCAATACACTGAGGACATACGTCCACCGTGTTGAAGAACAGGTTAAAGAGCAGAGCACTGAGGATTGGGGACAGGGAAATGGAACAAGAGCGCCTGGCTGAATAAGTGGCAACAAGGAATGTAAAAGTGGACCCAGTCAGCTCTCCAGCTGCCAACCAACAGCAAAGGAAAGAAGCCCAGAGATCTCTGTCTTGCTGAAGGCAGGAGACATGCAGAGATCTGAGAGTAGGGTCTGGTCGTAGACGGCTGGGTGTGTCTTTGCTGTTGTCCAAAATGGGGGCAAAAGGAAAGCTGGCACGTTTGACAGAGGACCCAAACTGGCTCTCACGGCTAGGGTTCTTCCAGGAGCTGGGACTGCCTCCCCATGGCCACTGCAGGCATCCATGAGGGGGCATGCAACCCCCAGGGTGGAGGGTGATCATTCTCTCCCATCTGGGCTATCTCAGCATAACTGGCTCTTCTTCCAGGCCTCGTCATGCTCACTACAATGCACCTCATTCATTTTTATATACCAACTAGTTCAGGGCCTGGGACAGCATCGGTGCTTATAAACAACCTTTTATTGACGCATCTCCCAAGAGGATTTTAAGCTACCTTGTCAGGGGTTAAAGAGTAACTGACACGTGTAATGGCTCAGCTAATAAACACCCCAGTTGAGGGGAGAGTAATCACCCGATTGCTTTCCTATGATTACTATGTATTTTCATTGCCAAAAGATGCAATACAATTTCATGGTTACTTGGCCCTGTAAAATAGAAATACCCCCAATTTTTAAGATATGAAGAGGTTTATAACCAGGGTACTGTCAGTTCAAGAATGAGTCCCTGGTACAAATGAGTCAATTCATGACAAAATTTAATTTCAAGAAAATTAACTCAATAAAGATGCCACAATTGCTGAAAGTTTTAACACCTATTAGGAGTTTGGGGAGGCGGAGCAGAACCACGGGCAAGCCAATCCATTTTTTGGCTCCTCAAAAATGCGACTGACTTAATACCTAATTTATTCATAATGGGGACAGTATTACAAGGAACTCTGTGTTTAATGAGGGAGGTCTGGGTCTCAAACAGCCTAACCAATCACAAAAATGGAGAGCATTAGCAATTTACAGGATATTAAGTTTTGTTTCCTGTAATATTATGGAGAGCCGATTAATAGCACTAGACTGACAGCTACTTCGACTAGACAGCCCAAGGTAAGGCTTTATGTCCCAGCAAATGCTGCTGGCCAGAAATTCTGTAGCTGCCAACACTTAGAAGAGCAAAACCCAAGTGGGGAACTTCAATGACAGACAGTCTGCTGACTGGTGATCATTTCCGTGGTGAGATCACTGGATCGGACAAGCGGCACAAAGGAAAAGCAGAAGTCAAAATACAGGACTTCGGAGGCACGAAACACGCACACCCACCACGGGGCACACTGGCCAGCAACCAGTGTCAGGAGCAAAGCTTGGGGGCATCGTTCTAGATGACTCATACCAAATCAGGCTCAGAATAAGAGATCAGAGAGTATGGAGCCCCAGCAGGCACCCAGTCCTGCAGGAAGAAAGCATCCAGCCTGAGGCTCTGTGGGGAGGGGCTGGTCAGAAAGACCCCCAGGCCCTCCCCAGCTGCTCTGGGACCTCCGGCCTTGCCCACCAACACCACAGACATCCATGGGAAAGGGGCCAATGTTGGGACCAACACAGTGCTTGGGACCTATTCAGCCTTAGAAAAAGCCAGCTGCCTAGAGCTCCCCTTTACAGAAATCCCCACCCCCAGCATCAGCCTCCAGGGGCAGCTGCCCCCCTGCAAAGCTGGAACGCACAGCCCATGAAAGGCTGTGCTCACTGCAGTAGAAAGCCTCACTCTTGAGATGTCGGGATGAAAACCACCCATCTGCGTCTCTCTTTAGCACTCTGTAGAGATTTGATCCTAATCCCACATAATGGTGCCTGCTATTTGTAACTGATGATGAAAGGCTGGCACGTAAAACCCCCCACAGCACCGCCTCCGCTTCAGCAAACATCTCCAACAAAATGAAAAGGTGCTAGAATAAGTGACAGGACACTCAAGGGAACAGAGGTGGCTTCTTCCAGAAAACTCAATCTCCTCAAGAACTGAATTTCATCAGAACTGGTGAAGAGTAGAAAATTTCATGCTGCACTGAAATCTGTGATTGTAAAAAATTTTTATTATATGCAACTGAAAATACGGACAAGGTGTGAGTCCCGAGCGTGAGTTTTTTTGGCAGAAGTAGCTCAAACTCACAGCAGACACCAGCACCCCGCGCATGCTCCTAGCACCCTGCTCAGAACGTAACTTGCCAGTGAGCACATTGCCATGCAGGCAGAACGAAACTCAGCCACAAAGAGAACAGCCTCGAGTTCTTTTCCCTGTTTTACATCCATTTATTTATTTGAGACAGATTCTCGCTCTGTCTCCAGGCTGGAGTGCAATGGCACGATCTTGGCTCCCTGCAACCTCTGCCTCCCGGGTGCAAGAGATTCTCGTGCCTCAGCCTCCGAGTAGCTAAGACTACGGGTGATTTTTTTGTATTTTTTGTATTTTTAATAGAGACAGGGTTTTGCCATGTTGCCCATGATTGGTCTCGAACTCCCGAGCTCGGGCAATCCACCAGCCTCAGCCTCCCAAAGTGCTAGGATTTACAGGTGTGAGCCACCGTGCCTGGCCAGGACCATTCTTTCTAAGGATCACATTTCAATGGAGAGAGTGCTTTGAACGCAAAACCAAATGCAGCACACAGGCCCAGGGCAGAAGGTGGCAGGAAACGGCCGGGCTCCTGGCACCCACTGTGGGGAGGGGGCGCGAAGCAGAGCTCACCTGGTAGGTGTCCCACAGGCGGATGGTGCAGCGCAGGGGCACCTCCCTCATGAGCAGGTTGTTCATCCAGCGGAAGGCAAACTGCAGGTACCTCACCTCGTGCTGGTCCAGGTGCCGGTGCACTTGCTCTGCACAAAACAAACACAGGCCCCGAGGCTGTCAGGGGAGCCCTCTGGAGGCACTGGCACCCAGTTCACTTGTGCCCCCAAGGCCCTGCACCCGCCTCGGAAGCCCACTCCAACAGCGAATCCCAAGCAGCAAGCCCTGAGGAGCAAAGAATGGAATCTATTGACGAGAGGCGACAGCGCTCCCTTCGTAGAGGAAAGAGAAAGAAGGTGGCGCTGCTGATGTGATGATTATAATCATGGCCAGGTTCGGGCGCTTCATGCCTTAACACCCAGGAAGATGTGGGGGGGGCGCCTCTGGTTGGCATGTCCATAGATAGGTGCTCTTTCCCCCACTCCACAGAAGCTCCACAGACCCAGGCTGGTGCCCCAGGAGGGACTTAAAGACACAAAGGAGATAAGCTTGCCTGCTTCCCGAAAGGGGCCCAATCTGGTCCAGGGAAATGCTCCACCTGTGCCTGGACCCAACAGTTGAGCGGGTGAGTGGGACACGAGGGTGGCAGGCCAGGTGGACGACACCCCCGCATTCCAGGATGGGGACACGCCTGAAGACAGCTGCGCCTCTGGAAAGAGCCAGGCTTTACCAAGCATCACTCCCAGAAGCACGCACTCCACACCAGCCACGTGAGCTCCTGTCATCAAGCTGCGGTGGGCGGCAGCTCTGGGCCCTTCACTCCCTGCCCCACCCACTACTGAGTTCTGGGACTGTCACTCCCGGAGGGAAAATCCCGGTGATCATGGTGCCTACGCTCCTCTTTCCAAGGTTCTGCCCATGAAGTCCTACTCTAAAGAGCCTGGAAGAACGGATGCTCCTTTATACAAACGAATAATAATAGGGGATGATTGCCAAATTGAGCTGCATTGCGGATCCTTAGTTTTTAAAACACAGGTGCACCCCAGGGTTGCTGACTGCCCTGTTTCGGAGCTCACTTCCTTACCCCTACTTCCAAGTTACACCTTCGTTCTCACCCTGGCTTGCTTACCTCACCCTGGCTTGCCCTGAGAAAAGATCCTATAAAACTTCACAGGGATCTCCATTCCTTCCCTTAGAGAAAGTTCTAGAAGTGGCAAGCAAATACAGGTTTGTTTCACTCAAGTCACTAGTAACTTGCAGTATGTCAGCAACAAGTGAGAGGCAGGGGAAGAGAAAGAGAGGTCCATCAGTGAACCTGACGGGCCAGGGGCTCTGTCAAGACATGCGAATGCCCTCCTGGACATCAGGGCCGCGGGACTGGGAGCTGCCGTCCCTTAAGGACAGGGGCTGGTTTCCAAGAAGGCTCTGCTAGGCTGGCCCTGGGAAAGCACGGGCAGCTCTTTTCCCCATGATGGAACCCTGCTGTGACGGGAGCTGGTCCCTTCACTGTCTGTGTCTTCACTGTCCCCCTCCTCCCCTAAACCTCTGCTGTCCTCGGCTGACCAAAGCAAGCATGCTGGGGTAGGACTCCCGTGGGGCTGGGTGTCAGGAACAGCTGCAGTATGAGGCCCTGGTTCACACTCTGGGGTAGATGCAGCAACACACGCTCTACTCCCACACCATAGTGAATAATTAACTTCGGAAACTGCAGAACTGGAAGAAGCAGAACAGCAAACGCTCCCCTCTGGGCCCCAGGGACAAGCCAGGGAAGAAGTTACAAGTAGGCTGGGCTGCCTTGCCACAGCCCCACAGGACTGCTCATCAGGAGGCTGCCTGGACCCACAGGCACCCATACACCCACCACTGTGCGCTGCCTCTGCACTGGCAAACGTGAGCACCAGGGCTCCGGGCCCTGCAGAAAACAAGTATGAGCTAGCCATGCAGGCCGGGGAAGCACACGGAGGTGGGGTCCCCGGCAGCAGGGCAGCCTATATCATGGCTCCTCCCACTGGCACCTGCTCACTGCAGGTGCTCAGTTGCTATGACAGGGGGTTGGTCTGCTCTTTGCTGTATGAAAAGGCCTGGCACACACCACACAAACATGGCCATAGATGTCTGCATTTCTTCATTAGCAAGCCCACCTGTCTCCCCTGGCCCCGAGAGAGCTTCGAGGTGGAACATTTTGGTGGATGAGTGGCTGGGAACGCTGGTGCCTGATGTGACTCAGGGAACCTGAAGCTTCAGTGCTAGAGTCGGCTGCAAGCAGAGAGGGTTATACGTCACCACACCAGACTCCTCGGCCTTCACTGCTGCCCCCCACTCAAACACCGTGTCTCCTGCGGCGGCACAAGGTAACCACCCACACCCACGCCACCATGCAGCAAGCCCCAGGCTCAGCTTCATGGCAGGCTTCCAGCAGGGCACCTGTCCCTGCCCAGTGCCAGGCTACCCGGACATCAAAACTCCTAGATGCTTCCAGAAACACCCCACGCAGGGAGCCTTCCCCTCTTCTTGGTTCGATGCCCACCTCTACGGAAGCATTCATCATGAAAGATGCATAAGTGCTCAGGGCCCCTGCCCACCCTGGGATGTGCGCTGGCAGGTGTGGGTCCAGGTCTGTGTCACCTTTGCTTCCCGGCCCCCAGTACACACAGTGAGTGTCCCTGAGTGTCTGTCAGGTGACTGTGATGAATGAATGAGTGGAGGTATGAGTGCAAGGACCAAACAGGTGACCGGAAAACAGACACGTTCCCAACAAACACCCAGAATGGTGTGTTGTTCTCAAAGAACTTCCAGAATCATTTCCAACTTGAAATTAATCTGTGGCTACAAAACTAAACCAACAGGAAGTTCTAGGAGACCCTGAGGGGGCGCCGCCATCCAGGCCTGACCTCTGCCCGTGCCCCTCGGAGGGCAGAAGTCTGCCTCAGCTGCCTCCAGCGCACTGACACGGGGCACTCTGATTACTGTGGAATTCAAGTCTGATGAACACTTAAAGCCAGCCATTTAGAAAATGACTACATTTACTCAACAAGGCCCTTTGCTCAGAGAAAAAGAAGAATGAGCTTCCGTGAATATGCAGTTGGCTACTGGGGAAGAGCAGCCAGAACAACAGTGACAGAGCCGGAGGAAAAACCACCCCTGAACAGAGCGCCTGCGAAGAAGGGGCCACGCAAGGCGGCCAGGACAGCAGCGTGACAGCAGCGCTCCAGGGCAGGTGCCTGGCCTGGCAGGTGGAGCTGGTTTCGCTGGTCTCTCCCAGCCCACAGCTTTGTGTGGACATCGGGCTGCAGCAAGTGGGTGCCACTTTGCACTGGCATGAGTGAGGCTCTGCAATGGAGATGGGCTGAGGTCAGCAGCCTGGGGTCCCCTGGATGAATGGCCCATGAGCTCCAGAATCAAGCCAGATTGGCCAGGCTGTGTTGGGTCACCCAGAGGAGTACTTGCCATGGAGCACCCTGCCGTGGCCACTGTGGTCTCCTGCTGTGACACATGGCCACACCACGCATCCCTGTCTGGCCACTGCTCTGAAGATGCTCGAGTGCTGCCAGGGCAGAGCCCCGGTGTACCAAGGCCGTGGTGGGACAGTCACACTAATAACCAGGACACGGGTGCGGAGCCCACACTTTACAAAGGAGGCTTCAAGCGGGCGGCTGACAGGGCTACAGAGCCTCAGTTCTTTCTGCGGATGTGTGTTCCCATCGGCTTGCTTTCCTCTCACTCCAGGCACCAATACAGTGAGAACCAAGGCTGGTGTGTGATGAGGCATCTCAACCAAGCACTCACGAGGCCAGGCCCTGGACCCAGCCTAGGGGACCCAGTGTGAGTGGGACTTGCCAGAGGGTCTTATCCGTTAGATGGTCACTTTCTCCAGGGCAGGGACTTTGCCCGGGCCCAGAGACTGGCGCCAAGGCAGGACGCGGCCCATCCTGCGTGTGATGCATGCAGGGCACACATTGGTTAACCGGGCAGCCTGGTGCCCAGGGTGGCCTCTGCCATGGATGAGGACAAGGTGAACACTGGGGAAGGTGAGCACCGCAGTCACACGCGGAAGAAGAGCTGCAGCTCACCAGACCAGCTGGTCCCTGACCTACCTACAGCAGCAGCCCACCTGCGTGGGGGGTTGGCATGTCCCCACCCGGGAAAACAGACAGCCCTGTCATGGGCCTGCGAGGCAGATGACGCTTTCCTACCACACACCAGCAAGAAGCAGATTTGAAAACTTAAACACACATAAATACTTCTGGAGCACCTGTCCCTGCAGTAACTAAACAGAGTAAAATTTAACCCTTCCTGCCCTACTTGCAGGGACTTGGGGGCGGAAGGCACAGAGGCTGCTAAGCCCTCAGCCCCTCCATGAGGGACGCTGACTTGAGGAGAAGGAGCCCGTTGTGGCCAGAGAACAATGGCCAGCCGACCTGCACTGAACTCCACTGGACAGCGGGCCATGCACCTCACGCCGTGACCCTGGGGCCCCTGGCCCCTTCTGTGAGAGGTGAGGCAGGTGAGGGGCCTGTCTAAAGGTGCACAAAAGGATGCAGCCAGGCCACGATGGGCCTGAGGACTGTCCCCCTCTGTCCCCTTGAAATGACCCACACCGCCAGAGCAAAGCATGGGCCCACCCTTGCATCTCTGGGCACCTGCACCCTGGGCACAGCCACCCACCCTCCTCAGGGCAAAGCCCAGTACATCTGCAAGAGCACCCAGTCACGAAGAATTACCAGAAAGCCGGGCACAGTGTCAACCTCACAAGGGCATAAGCAAGGCCTTTCCAGGACAAGAGGCTCCTTGTTTATTGGTTCCTTAAGGAAAGATTTACCAGAGGCCTCCAGACCCCAGGGCTGCCTCTGAAAGCAAAGCTACAGGAAAGGCAAGTCCTGTTTCTGCCGCTGGGAACTCGGCAACTCGTAGGAAACAGAAAAGGCACCGCAGCCTTGAGGTGCAAAGCCTGGCACTGCACCCGAATTACAAGATCTCAGTGTCCCGAGGGCCTGGCCTTCTGCCTGACACAGGACGCTGAACTCATGAAAGGGGATAAAAGGCAAAACCCACACCCACCCAGAGGTGACGGCAGCCACAGCAGGAGACCAGGGTAGCCACGGCAAGATGCTCCGTGGCAAGTGCTCCACTGGGTCACCCAACACAGCCT